AGGATATTTGATAAGATTAGAGTTAGATGGTTTCGAATCTTAGGTTTTTTTTGAGGTCAAATTTCTGCACTCAATGGAGGATTTTGTGATTTAATAGAGACGATGATTAACTTGTAAATATATTTTGTAAATAGGTTTGCACTCCTTTGGTGCTTATACTAATAGAATTATACACTTTTTATTTTAGAAAAAAATAAACTGGGTATTGAACTTTGTATAGTGAAGGGTTTAGTTGCGGGGTCCGATGGGGTAGAGATTTCTCATATGCATTTTGCAGATGAAACTGTCCTTTTTCTTGTGCCTTAAGATAAAGATATTTTCTTAAATGCATTTTTCCGCTTGCAAATTTTTTTAAAATTATCTTGTTTTGACGATTTACTCATCGAAGGATGTTTTGGCTAGTACTCATGTGGAGGAGAATGTTATTAGGGCTTTTGACAAATTTGATTTCTAAGATGCTTGAGAGCCCAGCAGCTCTTTTCTATTTTGGTAATAGAATTAGTTAAACTCTTGCCTATCTAAGTATCAGTTTATATTTCCTTTCTTTGTTTTATGTTACCGATTGAGAAAATAATGAGAGATTCGCTTGGGCATCGGCATGGATAAAAGGGATCATCTAGTTAATTAGGAGGTCTCTTGCCTTACCAACAACGATGGGTTAGGTCTTAGGAATCTAGTGTCCAAAAACATGCTCTTTTAGCCAAATGTTTAAGATGGTTTCTAAGTGAATCTAGTTGCTTTATGGCACAGGATTGATAGAAGCAAGTCTAGACTGGGCTGCACTAGAATGGTTGGGATGCTAAAGCAGGTTCTTTCATCTCTGACAAAAGCCCTTGGAAAGCTATTAGCTAGGCGTATGCTCTAGTTCATCTTGTTGTGCCAGCTAGGGTGAAGGAAGAGACTTGTTTTTCGTTTTTGGGAAGACTTATGGATGGGAGATTCACCTCCTTCATTAGTTCTCTCTCGTCTTAAGAGATTGTCTACTAGATATTGTTCTTTAATTGCCTCTTTTATCTCTTCACAATAATTATATAACATGGAAATTTCATTTTCCTAAATGCCTCAATTACCAGGAAACTAGTGACACGATGCCTCTCTATGCTGGATTTTCATTCTTTAGAAGTTGGTCACTTGATTCTTCAAGTTCCATACATGTAATCTCTATTTTAACACTTCACTCATTGCAATTAGGTGTATAAGTTGTTTGGGACAAACTGAAAAATCAATCTGAATCGTCAAAATGATTTGGTTTGATTTGCTGTGGTTTTTGAGCCTTAGCTTTTTCGGTTTGCATTGGAAACCAAACCAAAATTTTAACGTGGTTCTAGTTTAGCCTGAAAAACTTTTAAACCAAACCAAACTTAAATTCAAATATTTATACTTACAAAATAATATATAAATAAATAATAAACTATTAAAGAACTAAATATGTCTATTTGATTTGTCCTAAATATTGTAAATCTTTCGGACTCTTAGTCACCATCTCTTTTTATCTCTCAATTCTTTTCTTCTTATTCTTTGCCTCTCCTCTACAAGCTCACACAATCAAAAAATCTCATAACCATCTAGTCTTTCTCCTTGCTGCTAAGAACTTTGAGATGCCCAAGTTCCAGCAGCTTTCCTCCTTTCATTTTTATCTTTTTATCATACCTTAATTTCATTTAGTTTTCTTCATCATTTCCACACCAGTGCCAAGTTACTTTTTCTTTGTAATATTGAGATTGCAAGGAGTCGAGTTAATGATATATTGAACTAGATCTAGAAGCATTAAAGATAATATATCTAACACATTTCACAATCTTCTTCTAGTTCTCTTTATTTTAGAATTTACAATTTTTATCTTCTTTTCCTCTCATTCTATATTGTTCTTCTTTTGTCATATCTTTTTTAACCCATCGTTTAATCTTTTTGTTATGTCTTTGTTAAGAGCTTTGGTTTTATTTTATTATCAGCTTGTTCTTTTCTTGGATTTATTTTATGGTGCTGATTGGGTCTCTTTGTTTTTGATAATTACACTTTGTTGGTGTTATCACATTTGAAATTCTTAGTTTTTATAAGTTGGTCAAATAGTAAATTTAATGAGTCATTATTAAGAATTTTTGTTAAGAATAATTTGATGTGTATTTTATTGTGAAGCTTTTTGTGATGAGGTGAAAAAGAATTCTTCATCTAATTTTTGCTTACTATTCTCAACATCGAAGGGACTGATTTATACAGAAAAAAAAAAAAATCCAACAACTTTATAACAAACTTGTGGGGTAAGGGAATAATCAGAATTGGTACAGGACACCTCACTAATTCTGTTATTCACCTTTCCATGACAGTACAGAAAAGAACAAATGACAGCTAATTTCCTACATCTTTATACACTCCCTCTCAATCTAGTTTTACATATATGTTAAGTAAACTTAAATTGGATATTATGTTATCAAAATTTCCTTTTGGTAGGGCATTTGTTAAGATGTCGGCAATCTGGTGGCTGGTTGGAATGTACATGAGTGTTATAGTGTCATCTTCCAATTTCTCTTTAATGAAGTGTCGATTGATCTCAACGTGTTTGGTTTTGTCATGATGTACTGGATCTTTGGTCATACTAATTGCTAACTGATTGTCACACCAAACTTTCATAAGTGCATTATCTGAAACATTTAACTCAACAAGTATCATTTTCAACCATATTCCTTCACATATCCCATGGGTAAGAGCCCGAAACTTGCATTCCACACTATTTTGTGATACCACAGATTGTTTCTTACTGCTCCATGTGACCAAGTTTCCCCAAACATATGTGCAGTAACTAGATGTTGATTTTCTGTCGTTTATTGAGCCTGCCCAATCAGCATCAGTGAAGATCTCAATCTCTCTTTTCATTATCTTTTGGAAAAACAGTTCTTGACCTGAAGTCATTTGTAGGTATCTCAGAATTCTATAGACAACTTTCATGTGTTCATCAGTTGGCTGATTTATGGATTGACTTACCACACTGACTGCAAAGCTAATATCTGGTTTCGTATGTGCCAGGTAGATGAGTTTGCCAACTATTCGTTGATACCTTCTTTGTCAACAGTCTTGTCACTGATCTTGGACCCGAGTTTGATAGTGGAGTCCATAGGCGTGTCGGCTAGTTTGTTACAAAGCATCCTTGTCTACTTGAAAAGATGTAAGACATAGGCGTGTCGATTGGTTTGTTACCAAGCATCAGTTGGCTGATTCATGGATTGACTTACCACACTGACTGCAAAGCTAATATCTGGTTTCGTATGTGCTAGGTAGATGAGTTTGCCAACTAGTCGTTGATACCTTCCTTTGTCAACAGTCTTGTCATCGATCTTGGACCCGAGTTTGATTGTGGAGTCCATAGGCGTGTCGGTTGGTTTGTTACCAAGCATCCCTATCTCCTTGAGAAGATGTAAGATATATTTTCGTTGTGATATGGAAATCCCTTTCTTTGATCAAGGTACTTTCATTCCAAGAAAGTACTTGAGTGTCCAAAGGTTTTTTATTTCAAATTCTGTGGCCAAAAATCTCTTGAGTTCCTGAATTCCTTCAATGTGATCCTCTGTTATAATGATATCATCTATATAAACAATTAGGATTGATTTTCTCTCAGAAACACAATTTTTAATAAACATTGTATGATCTGATTGACACTGCCCATATCCTTTTGGTTTCACTACTTTTGTGAATTTGTCAAATCATGTCTTCGAAGATTGTTTTAGACCATAGAGTGTCATTTTTAGTCTGTACACTTTCTGTGATTTATCTTCTAGTTCAAGACCTGGTGGTGGAATGTCCATATACACTTTTTCTTCAAGATCACCATTGAGGAAAACATTTTTCACATTTAATTGATAAAGTGGCCAATCCAGATTCGAGGCAAGAGACAGAAGTAACCGGATTGTATTATATCGATTCAGACTTCCATCTGAATTGTATTTAGTTGTGAAGACCCACTTATACCCCACTTGACGTTTTCCTGGAGGTAACTCTGTTAGTTCACATGTTTTGTTCTTCTCAAGGGCACTAATTTTTCTTGAATGATAGCTTTCCATTCAAGAATTTGGAGAGCTTCATGAACTGTTTTTGGCTCTGGAGAACTGCTGTCCAATCTACTTGTAAAGGCATGATGATATGAAGATAACCTTTTTAATGAAATGTAATCCTGTATAGGATGTTTAGTGCACGCTCGACTCCCTTTTCTCAAGGTTATAGGTAGTTCAGAGTCAGTATTAGTAGTAGGGATAGAAATCTCATTACTTGTTGATTTCTGGACATTTAGAGCCAGGACAGACTCATGACAAAGCTTGGTGGAGTCAGGAACTTTCCCTTCTCGAACTTTGTTCTTCTAATATAGACACGTAACTCTTTATTTGTAGGTACTGTTATTGGGTCAGGGTATTCTAGAGGTGTCTGAATCTGTGGCTAGAGAGGAGGTATGTCTCCATCCCACAATTGATATTCTTGAGTAAATTTCTCTCCCTGAATATTAGTATTGGGGTAATATGGTTGGTTCTCAAAAAATGTGACATCCATGGAATTGTAGAATTTGTGGGTGTCCGGAACTAGATATTTGTACCCTTTTTGGTTAGATGAGTATTCGACAAAAATGCATTTGAGGGCCCTTGGGTCAAATTTCCCCCAGAGATGACTATGAACATGTACGTAAGTAGAACAAGCGAAGACTTTGAGTGGTAATG